CCCCCCCCCCCCCCCCCCCCCCCCAGCACTGCACCATTGCACCAACCCCCCGCGAGCGATGATGTGCATGGGCTGGCTCGAGTGGCCCACTTTGTCTTGTGTTGTTTGTGTTGTTCTGTTTGTTTGTTTGTTGTTTGTCGCTAAGGCGTGTGTCTTTCTCTCTCTGTGTCTTTCTCTTTCCCTTTGCTTCTCTCCATGTGCTCTATTCCTTTCTGTTTCCTTTTCTTTTTCTTTCTTTTTCCCTTTCTCTTTCTCCTTCTCTTTTTAATTTTTCTAACTTTTTCCAATCTATAGGGTTACCTCGCATAGCATGCAGAGAGGCGAGCGGAATGGCCTAGACTATCTGTCGTTGACTTTTATTGGCTTGCAGACCCTTCGGGTCCATTTTATTTTCGTATACCTTTTTTGGGGTAAGTTGGCCTGTGACCACGCGGGAATCGACCCCGTCAAGTGTTCGACTAGTACAGACAGAAGAAGAAGAAGGTACTACTGAGCAGAGAGAACGGAACGGGACAACAACAAAACACCAACAGCCTCATCAATCAAACAGTGTGACAAATCTTGCACTATGTCACAAGTGACTGGCTCTCAATCAGCCCAGCTGCATAACGGACACCACCCATAGCCATCAGAGCCTGCCTTTCGCAGGTATACGGGAAGGAGCAACTGCTGCTGCATTTTTCTCTCTCCTCCTTCCATATATATATGTGCTCCCCAAACCGAAAAACAATTAATTAATTAAATCAAACACCCCATATATATTTCATACACTGCATCTCTGCATATATGCATATATATTCTTCGCTTACTATAAATAAAATGATCCACCGTGGGCCAGGTATATACCTATCTATCTCGTATGCATGCTATGTACCGCAGTACATATCATGGTATTGTATGCACAGAGTAAATGCCACAATCTCGTGGCGAAAACGAAAACAAACACGGTCGCGCTGAGTTTCCGGTGGGACTGGACGTTGCAATTTTCATGTTGGCGCAGGCCAAAACAGTGAGTTTAGAGCCGGAGACTATAGGAGTAATGCAGACACCTCCTATCTAAAACATCTCCGATCCTCTCGCATCACGAACTTCACCCTCGCCTTTTACTAGGATGAACCGTGCGGAGAGGATCCTGAAGGAGTTTCACTGATTTTTGACCCCACTCGTGGGGTAACCCGACCTCATCATGCACACATCCCAACCCAGCAACACAACATAAAAACCAAAACACAAACAACAACACATGAACGCACGACAGCAGGTCTTCTGTCAACCACGACCCGACAGATAGCCACCACCGACCCCCGGCGTGATACGTGACATACAAATCAAACACAGCACGAAGTTACCACCCTTTTTCTTTCTCAACATCATCATCACATTTAGCAAGCACACACACGATGACAGAAGGCCATATCATCATCACCCATGACCTCAAGATTTCTAGACAGCCACGGACCCATACGTGAAATACAGCAAAACACCGTAGAAGAAGCGACCAACCAACCCCACGCCGTGGGATACATGCATGCTCTATGCTGAGCACAGGCACACACACCGCCGGCGATTGATTGAGACGAGAGACGATGATTGATGTGGCGATGCACGAAGAAAGAGGAACGAAAAAGGAGGAACGTGATTTTGTGTCGGAAAAGTTCCGATTGGCGCAGCCCAAAAGGGTGAGTTTAGAGTTTGGTGACCAGACAGGACTATATAAGGCCGGTCGCGATCACACATAAGAGCATACCTTCTCGGCCTTTTGGCTAAGATCATGTGTAGTATCTGTTCTAATCAGTGTGAAAACTGATTGACGCTCAATGAGTGTCATTTTCACACCTGTTTTTGAAATCGCCGGGTTCGCGCTGCTTGCAGTGTTCCGGCAGGATTTCCTCGGCATTCCACTACCGCCTTGTGAGGTCCGTCCCCTCGGGGACACAACACAAACAAAACCCAACAAAACCCAAACCCAAACCCAACACACCCAACGACCCACACACACCGATCATCGTGGACAACCAAGACAGGAAAAACACATATATGTATGTCCCCCTCATGTTCGCCACACTTGAGAAACACAACTAACAGCATACATGACACACGCGTGCACCGCGACACAGCCACCGCCACCAAAAGCTCTCTCACCACCCTGAAGAAAATGCCTATCATATTGTAGGATGAGACGGTTCGTTATTATTAGGATGTTTGTTTGTTTGGATCGTCTTGGCGCAGACCAAGTTGGTGAGTTTCTCGACCCAGGTGTGCTTGATTGATTGAGTTGAGGTCCGTCGTCCAGTCCCGTCCACAGCAGCAACAACCAAAACAAAACGAACACACCCAACCACCACACGCACACGCACCGATCGCGGACGGACACGAGGAACAACACCAGTGTCCCCTCCTCATCTTTGTACACATCAAACAACTGCTGTTGTACGCCGTGCCCTCTAACTGCTGCGTGTGTTTGTTGTCTGCGCGCGCGACAGCAAAACACGCACATTTTCACGAAAAAATTCAATTCACCAAGATGAGGGTTTTTGATCATGTTGGCGCAGACCAAAGTGGTGAGTTTTGAACCCTACACTATATAAGCAATCATCATATCCGTTCGATCTAGCATACTTACCTGGCGGGGGCTTGCCAGTGGTCAGGATGACTGGTGACCCCAGGGGGAGCAGGCTCTTGCACTGGGCTAGACCCTGGAGTGCTGTAATCCCTGGAGAATATTCCTTCGGGGGTATCTCTACCGCATAATTTTTTTCCGGGGAGGTGTTCGCTTGCGACCCTCCCACCAAACAAAACAAAACAACCACACACACACACAACAACACACAACAATACACAACACAGAACACAACTGCGAACATTCTACATTTCTGAATATACCCCTCCGTCCAGACAGAGCAGCAAGGCTTATATTGCCGGGGGTCCTGTTGCAAGTGATCACTCTTTCTTGTGGGGGGCGGATCTGTCCACATGTATGTACGGTTGGTAGTGCATACTCCGGAGTATAGTAATGTACACGTTGATGGGGTGTGTGTGTCGAATTGTATCAGATCTTCTCGATTTGGTCGTTTGGTTGTCAAAGCTTGATTGCTTAATCCTACGACTGACTGCCTTAATTTTGCTTTGTGAACAAAGACCAACACCGCGATGACTCACCCGGTGGCATTATTTTCTCAGCTCCTCGTTTTGTTTGTGAGGGGCCGGAGGAGGAATGTATGGTTCTTCCAACAATGGTTCGTTCGGTGGCAGGCGCCTCAAGTAAGAATCGCATGTGTGTGTGCCTTACGCGTGATGTCCCTTCTAGGAAAAAAAAAAAAAAAGGGGGGGGTAGGAAAGCCAGATTCTTGTGGGAGAAATCAAAGAGAATGCATTTATTTGCGTACGCCGGAACAACACGGGGGGCAAAATTCGTGTGAAGCGACAGCGGCACGCAGCAAAATGGCAGTCTGGTGGGTACAAAAAACGAAGGAGATACTGTACTACCCAACAATACTGGGGAGGGATGTTTCTCGCGCGTATCGCAACACGTGCCTCTCTCGTTTGGTTCTCTTAAACCAATCATCATTGCAAGCTACTTACTGACCACCAAATCTCGGCACGTCTGGAACCTCCCGCCGCCCTCTCTCTCTAATCTGTACCTAATCTGTACCTCCCCGACGAGCTCGCAGGATGCGTGTCCACCGATTGTTTCCACCCATTGCCCCAATCACAACTTGGCAAACCCCCTGTTGTGAGTGAAGGTAGCTGCCAAAATCAACCCCCAACCGGACATCGTGGAAGACAACCTCCGGCGCACCCACACGGCAAGAAAGGATGCCCCATAAATAAACGAGCCCCCGCATATGTAGTCTCGAAATCACCCCATGCCTACATTTCCAACCGAAGCAGCACCACCATCATCAGCGCCACGGTACCCCCAACGTCATCGTACGGTGCCGTCCGATTGCAAAACAGGCGGTGTTGCCACCAGCGTAGCAGAAGACGACACAGGAGGAGCAGCAGAAGGTGACGGGGGTGGCGGCGGCAACGACGGCTCCGCCAAGGCGGTAGCAGACAAGCGATTCAGCGGAACGATAGCCCTGACCTTTGGGCGAGTGACGAACGTAGGGTGGTAGACGGTGAGGTTGTCGTCAACGTAGCGTTGACGGGTGCAGTTCTTGATATGCACGTTCATGTCCAGGAGCTCCTTGACCCGCTTGAACTTTGCCTTGTCGTTTCGCACCGCCAACACAAAGCACTCGGTGTCCAGTTTCCCCTTGACCTCGGCCGCCTGCGCCGATCGATAGAGCAGACGATGAAGCGGGCAGAGCAGGTTAAGAGCAAGGGTCGGACACGGGAACATGTTTGGAGGCGGACAGCTTACTGCCAGAAGCGCCGATAAAAGGTTGACCCCAGGACCTTGATACTCCGGAATACTATTTACAGTAGAGAGGAGAGCAAGGGAGAGAGCGAGGGGGACAGTATGGAACCCTGCCGAGGAACCCGCCGTCCAACTGTCCAACCATCACGCACACGCATCCACGTAACCCCCTGAATCTCTGCAGGTCAATATCGAATGCCGAGCAGCCTAAACAGCTCCCCTGCTTGGCACTCGATACTGATCCCCTGCTGGCATTCGATACTGATCTGCAGGGATTCTGGGGGTTACGTGGATGCGTGAGTGTGATGGCAGGTCAGTTGGGCGGCGGGCCCCCGCCAGAGCTCCTCGCTCTCTCCCTCGGTTTTCTCTCTACTCTAAATAATAAGTAATACCATACTCCGGAGTATCAAGGTCCTGGGTTCTGTGGAATAAAGTAGGGCACAGAACTACTATAATGCGGGAGTTTACAAGGTTGTAAGGTTCACGTGTAACGTGTAGGAGAGAGAAATGCGGCGTGACTTCGACGATGACATATGGCTGCCTCGTTGCGGTCAACCCTGAACAATGAAGAGCTGTGTGGTGTGTTAACCCAACGGTCTTGAATCTCTTGAGGTTACGAAACTAACACGAGGGCTCCTCAGAGACCAAACAGGCCTCGATTGCACGAGGGGTTCCACAGCAACTGCATTTGCTCTGTGCTTCTGACAAAAAGCGGTCCACCCCAAACAGAACACTCGCAACACGTGTGTATGCTTGCAAGGGTTCGGAGGCTTACGCCGCCACGCTTCGCGAAGCGATTCCAAGATGCATGTATGATGGCGGCTTGGCCTTATTGGCATGCGCACCAACTAGGGAAGACTCCCCAATGATACATATGTTGATAAATTGTGTGTGTCATAAGGAGGGAGATACTGCCACGATTGGGCGTAGAGACGATGCCATGTGTATAGTGAGGAGCGTGTTTTTCCAGCGTCAGTCGGAGCACGTTCATTTGAACATTCATGATCAAGGCGGACAGAACAAAGCAGCCGTGATCCACACAACTGCTTTCACAACAAAAGGGCTACAAGAAAAAGGGCACAAAGGACCTAAACAGAAAAAAAACGGTCTTGGCAATGTTCGTTCCCTACCCACGCATAGAGTATGCACGCACCTTGCACGCCTTGTCCGTCACATACTGCACGTACTCGCCCACCACCTGTCACCACATTTTTTGCGTAGTAGACAAGAGACATCCACAAGCGGCCGATGGAAAACAACGTGGGGTGGGGAGAGGCGTGAAACGGCGGGGGGGGGGCAGCCGGGCGGTAAACAAATGGAGCACATGGGTGGGCGGCGGACGGGCACTTCGAACCATCGGTCGCGCCGAATATCGGTCAACCTACACACGGCACGACGTCGTCGGATAGCTTGTAAACACACACAGCCACAACGCTTTGGGTGGCGCTACTAACTAACTGGGCCTCTCACACGCTGCGTGTTGTACATGATCCTCATTCGATGTTTGGATCAAAAGCGTTGGAACTCTCTTGGTTGGCCATTTGCCAGCAATACTCGCACTCCACAATTCGACGGCATAACCGAGGCGCTAGCCTGTCGGGATAATTATCTGGTGAGCTTGTGCCGCGTCGCTTGGCGGGTGTGAGGAAAGATATCTCCTCCGCGGTAATTTCGTGAGAATGGTGGTTTCCTTTGCTTTCTTGTCATAATTTCCCGTTGGTGAGCCGTCGCTCTTGGTACATACCCGCCTAGCGTTTTGCCTCTCCAAATAACAAAGAGCTCCGATCCGGGTTATAACGCAGGAGAGTTCCTCCAAGGTACACGCCAGACTTAGAATTTGCAGCTAAAAAATACGCTTTAACGCGAGAGGTGGTCGTTGTCGCACACGGTGTTTCCGTTCTTTTACACTAGCTGAGGGTCTTCGTTTTATCCCCCGAAAAAAAGCCCTTCCCTGAGACGTTATGAGGAGGACAGCTCTGTCGATAGCCGTCAAGCTAAACGGCTAAATAAAACCAAAGGTCAATTCAAAGCGTTGCCCAATGCCCGCTCACTCCTGTGCAACTATGCCCTGTTGGTCAAATTTGGTACCACTGTGGACATACATGCGGTTCTGTGTGCTCCTATATTGGTATGTTATATGACATGTCTCCACCGTAGGTTGCACACACCCTGGACCGATTTTCAATGCTCGATTTCTCCTACAGCAGAAGCAGTGGCGGTGCCGACAAACATGGCGGTGTTGTCGAGAGCTTTCCGGAAACGTGTCATTTAATTCTGGCATCCTCCTCGTCGCGGAGTAATCGAGCCTTGAAAATCGGTCCAGGGTGTGCGGTATCCCACGCAACCTACGGTACTTCTCTACCTTGCCCCTCTTCTCCTGACCCTTCGACATCTCTCTCCATACGATGGTGTTTGTGCGTCTCTCTCTCTCTTCGTCCCCCCTCGGTGTTGTTCTCCTCGACATCACGCAAACAAAACAGGCCGCACACGATTGCGACCCGGCGGCATCCAACCACACAGCCACACAGCCGCTCCTCACAACTTCTCAAGGCACACCGGAGTGTGTGGGGTCGGCCTCTGTCTGCCTCTTCCTTCCCCTGGCCACGTCTTTTTCTTGCCTGGTGCGTGCTGTACTATATTTTGTCCAACAGCCAAGTACGGGTCCGCGATACACACTTTTTAAACGCAAAATATTTTCCTGAGACAATTTCCTGAGAGAGAAGCAGAACGGCGAATCCTCAAACCCTGACGCCATCAATCTCGGCAACAGCACCGTCTACCGTGAGGTATGAGAGGCCTAACACGGCTTCATTGCAACTCTCGCTAGGAATGTGTTTTTGTATGGGTTATATATCCAGTCACGACGGAAAACCGTCTTTCTATGTTCCGGCTGGAATAGTCAGCACCGAGGAGGTGTGCTCGCGGGCGGCCAAAAAAGAAAAGGTGTTCAATGCGAACAGAAAAAACACAACAAGCACCTCTTGCATGTAGGCCACCGTCTCCGGCAGCGGGTGTTGCTCGTCTCCAAAACCGTACATCATCCTGAGACAGTGCGAAGAAGAGCGAGAGGGGAGGAAAGCCACAAAGTGGAGGGTCGAAAAAGCGGACGAAAAAAGAGAGTTCAAAACTGGAACGTGGACAAACCTTGACGTTGGTGCATTGCGATTCTCGTTCGTTTTATTCAGGTACCCTATGGAGAGGAACGGGGGGTACGTTGTATGAACAACCCTTTTGGATGCACCTGCCGCTCTTTTGTGCCTACAGTATAACGAGAAACCGAAATTCAATCACAACTGTAGCGTCGGGCGACGGAGCTCCTCTACCCTTAAGTCCGACCAAACCTATCTCGGTTCACACAAAAAAATTAACGAGAGGTAAGCAAGACACACGATGGCCGAGGCAACAACTCAAACGGCAAACATCACCAAGTACAGCAGTAACAAGCCTCACATTGGCAAGCTGTCTGCGATCGAACCTGCTTGCGACGATTTCTGCTGGGCGTCCTGGCCAAGGCACACAGAGCGGGAGACGGGGCAGCGGCAGCGTTGGAATAATACTGAAAAGTCGGTTTTTCAGCACACGAATCCACCCACTGATCGTAGACGTACGCCTGGTGAACTACAATGTCATCTCTACGACTCGAAACAATGGGTGGCTACCAATGAAGCCCAGGCTGAACATTGGCTAGCGGGTGAATTGCATTTTAACAAAGCGCCGTTCGAATCCGGATTGAAACATTAGACAGAAACGGCAGAGCTGAAACCAGGGCGAATTCCACAACCATCGGACAAGACTTGGTCGGGAATTGTAGAACAGCTTTGTGGTAGAGCTGACAAAAAAATTGCCCGGTTCAGACTTTCTTCACCACGTTGCTACATACCACGTGCTCGAGCGCTTTTCCGCACCACCAACGGTCCGTGGGTTATTTCAGCCTGTCGGGAAGGAAACCATGTGCTGACGTTCGCTTGCACTTGAATTCCAAAGCTTGGGCCCAAACAACCAACAGCAACTAGACTTGTCGTCGAGAAAAAAACGCACACGTGCGGGACCACGCGCGAGCTCCGACAGAAACAGCAACACAAACAGGGCCGTCGATTTCTCAAGCGTTGCGTTCACCACTAATGTGTACATCTAACAACTTTTCTATGCGCTGCTGCCCGTGGCGTACCAACAAAGTTGTGGCAGGGAGGACCGCCTACGCAGGATTGCAAGAGTACCTAGAACAAGAATAGGGGGGGGGGCACGCAGACCCTATCCCTAACCACGGATTGAATACTTTATCCCATATGTTTGCTTAATCATTTTTGCTGCGTAGACTACTGGGCAGGGAGGAGCAATGCACCGGACCCAAAGAAATTATAAATCCAGGCAACGACAGGGAAGAAGAATGGGGAGAATGAAGTACGGGTAGATCCCGTGCCGCAGGTAGCAGGAGGCCTGCCTGTCTTTTTTTTCGCCCAACAGGTGCCTGTGTTTTTGGGTCGGAGCCCGAAGAAATCGCAGGCGATAGGTGAGGCCCTTCGTTTGCAAGGGCCTCCTTGAGGGCGAAACTCGAAAAAATCCCCAGCAGAGCCGAACGACTGCCTGAAAAAAAACGCCATCTCTGTTGCTTCAATGCAGGCAGCTCTTCCGCGTGCTCCGAACCGAAATCGTCACACCCTGTACAAACAAACCACCATGTTCAGAGTGTGTTGTCATCGCCAAGCTACTCTCGTCCCCTCTGAACACTCCAGGATGATGATGCGTTCAACACGGCGCACGGCAGCCTAAACGCAGACCAAAATCGGCGTCCGTCCACAATCATCAAGAACTCAACTTCGAGCTTACTCTGTGGACCTTAATTTGATCAGTTTGTGACAACGGAATCGTTCAATATTTGAGCAGTGCCAGAAGATGAGATGCCCGAGAAGTCCAAGTACGGTTAACTAAGGGCAAGGTACTCTCAGGCCACGTGGAAGTGTGTTGACCCCTCAACCTCCTGTGGGTACAGGGTGTTCGTGTGTACTTGCTAGGCTTACTCTTGTATGGTCAACGAGAATTGGCCCGGACGGATTTTTTTCGCAATCCGTACACGAAAATCTCGAAAAGGCAGCACTATCGCCACATCACCGCAGCGTGCTCCCTCCCTGATGGTCAGATCGCCACGCAACCTTCAAGGTTGTACGCACCACACCTGTAGGTGTCTTTGGAGCCTGTTGCGACTGCTGAGGGGTCCTTGTGGGCCGAGAAAGGTTGATCCATGTGAGAAAAAACAATAATCC